GCGATGCAGGACTTGCCATTGCCACGGGATTATTGGTCAGTAAGCATACATGGCTCTTAATTTAGACTCAATTCACAATGAAATAATGATATTAGTTGATAGTTACAACAAATGAAAAACGGTTTGTCATATTATGTAACCCTGATAATACTAAAAAAAATCACACACTGTGCAAATTCCACGTTTCATATTTATAATGCATAACACTGAGAATATTTGCTTATACCTATTATATATATAATAGGTCTTTATTTAATATTATATACATATATTACTTCTTGATTGGTTGTTAGGCAACGCAATTTCTTGTGGTTTTGATAATATACATGGTCAATATGATAATGTACGTCAATGACGCCGAACGTGTTGTTGAATATTCGCAACTTGCTACTGAAAAAGACGAAGGTATGTCATCATATTTAGATTAAAATTGTGTGTATAAAGAGGATATTACGAAATGATATGTCAATGTATTAAGCATATCATGTTTATGTGTTAAACAGTGTAAAATCAGTTTCGTTTCCGGATTCAAGAACGTACATACACTAATCTCCTGTATTCACAGAAAAATCTATGAAAAAACTATTATCCAATTCTCATGGTACTTTCTGAGATACAGTATCTAAAACATCGGATTAACAAAAAAGCTACTCAAAGTTCGTGCTAATTTTTACCTCAAATTAAATTCAAAAATACTCACACGAATGTGCCTCATTAGGCATATTGCCATATGCCTCTACTCAACCAGAGTTATCTTGTCACAAGTCGAGTACGAAATGAAATGTATAAGCTTCCTCTAACGAGTGTATATTTCTGTGCAGGAACCTTAAAACCAGCAGCTAATTGGCCAATCAAAGCTTCAATCAGTATAAGAAATGTTACAGCGCGGTATGCGGACGGGCTGGAGCCAGTGTTGAAACAAATTAACGTTCATGTTAGACCAGGTGAAAAGGTGTGTACTATATTTATTGCAGTAATATTGAGGGAAAACAAATCTGTGAACTCTTCCTGGATAATAAAATGCCTTCATCCATTCGAATACATGCTGGTAATAATACAGAACGCTCCAACAACTTACTTCCCCGAAATCTGTTTTTCAGTTTGTCGTAAATTGTACAATATACATATTTATCTGATTTTGTGTGATGAAATTTATAACGACAATTCTGACCATGCGGCTAGTTATACCATAACATAGTGGTATATTTCAGCATTCTGAGACACTGAAATACCGAGTAATTAACACGCGTTTCCGTTTGCCGTGAATTACGTATCACCTTGTATTTGTAACATACGCATTCCTTTATTATTCACAAGATTGGAATATGTGGTCGTACTGGAAGTAGCAAAACATCACTTAGTTTAACGCTTTTCAGATTGATTGACGTGATCAAAGGTGAGCATTCAAAATACGCTACAAACAAATATGTATCAAACGTAGGATATATGGGACCTTTTTCTTTTGTTCCCCTAATCCTAACTCTCAAGTCCCCTCCAATTTGATTGTATATGCCACTATAAGTGTCCTTATGAGGAGACATATACAATTAAATTAGGAACCGCTGGAAGATAGAGTTAGAGGTACAAAATACTTTCCTTATACTATTCATGACATTCACTGTCAGTAATCATTTGTTATAAATCCTTACGGTTTTCCAGGAACGATCACAATCGATGATATTGACATATCGAAAGTTCCATTGTCCACTCTCCGTAGCAGAATATCCTTAATTCCACAGGATCCAGTTCTATTCTCCGGTACTATTAGGTAAGTTGTGGTCAATTATATGGAATACCACAAGGTATAAGATACATGTTGAATTGCATAAAACACTACAAGGTACATGTCACAAGGCTTGTTTTCAGTTAATTAATAATGGTAGCCAAATGAGGACCAAAAAGACCTTGCCTTGTGTTGTGGGTTCTTTACCCATTATTGGAGTGACCAGGTTTGGAAATGTACACGAATTCGACACACACGCTCGCAATGACAACACGAAGATGTATTAACTTTCAACTCAATATTTAATAACATAACTATAAATAAACGGGGAAAATAATACAAAGAGGGCATATACGGAACAACTGATATATACACACGGCTTCAAGCTCCAGTCACGAGTGACAAGTGACTGGAGTATGTAGAGCCAAAAGTAAGAAAAATATGTAGAGTTTAACAAAACTATTTGGTATTTCAACTAAGTGAACCGTTCATACCAGAGTTGGCAAAAGTATGAAACCCAACAAAGCATTGAACAAAATAACACTACGACTCTAAAATAATTCTGAAATAATCACTATGCATACCATGTCGACAGTACAGTTCATGTGGAAGCGTAGACCTGCTGTGCACGCTGTCGAAGTGGAGATGGACATGCCCTATTCCAGCTAGCAACGGAGCGTTGAACCGGTTACACTCGACGAACCAAAGGCTTCTTGGCAAGGTGGCTTAGAGTAATGCGTCAGTTCCTAGGAAATGTACTCAGCTCGCAAAACCATTGGTGACATTCACTAGAAGACTGCATCCATGGCGATTTCTTGACAAAGGATAAAAGAGCCGGGCCTTCCGACGCACGAATGATGTGCACACTC